GTGAAGGCAATAAACAGTTTCCCACAGTAAAGCACACTGAATATATAGAGACGTGTGCCTTCTCTGATTTTACATTTGATTCAAGGAGACACTCATATAGATAACTGTAATATAAGGTAATATAGAAAAAGTATATACTCAAAAAGTGATTATAGGAATTCAAAAGGATTGGCTAGAATGATCAGATAATAATTTGTTGAGATGATATGGAATTATAGTCCAAGGAAACTAGAACGTTTAAAACACAGCTTATATAAATCAATTCTCCTGATAATACTAGCCAATACTTATTGAACATTCACTATAACCGACACAGTGTTTACTGCATTTAAACTTCAAAACAGTCTCATATAGAAGCATTGTTGTGTTCATTTTGTAAGTGGGAAAACTGAGGCATAGCAAGACAATGTTACAAAATTTGTCAAAGTCACGCAGCTAATAAAGAAGAAAGTCAGGATTGGAACTCAGGTGACTGGATTCAGAACCTGTGTTAACCATCACATTGCAAAGTTAGAATTTTTACTATTTGCTGAACTGTTTCTAATAATACATTTTATTAAGTTCACTGGATTTTATTTTTTATTAATTTTTAAACTTGCATCTTATCTATGGATGCTAAAAGTTTTTTATTTCATATCTGATCAACTCAGTCTTTCATTTACAGTAAAAATTTCTCAAATTCTTCATGTGTCAAATAAAAGTTTGAAGCTATATCAGAAGTCCCCATACAATTCAAGAGCAATTCTTTCAAAATAAAAAGTTATGCCAACTTCTATGTTACAGCTTTTCACCTTCTCTTATTCACTGTTAGGTGTGCTGTAGAAAACTTCACAATAAGTTATAGGATCTTGCAATCCCCAGAATCCACTGTGCTAGAATAATCTCTAAAGCCATTTCTAGTTCTCAACACTAGGTCCCTATCTCTCTAGTTCCGAATCTGTCATGTCTCTCTGCCATAAGAAGGAACGCATATGCTCCCTCAATCCCTTAAAATTCTTTTAAGTTTTCCCTATTTGTTCTTCCCCTACACTTTCTCTTCTTTCTTTAGCTCAAATTCCTTAGTAAACAATACAACTTACTTTGCAGAACTCATAATTAATATTCGTCTATTGTGAAAGGAACTCTGTCAAAAATACATGAGCTAAAATAAAGCAATACAAAGTTACAGAGCTTAAACTTGTTTTCTGAAAATAGTTAATAAAAGAAAGGCTTTTATATCAATTTTCTGGTAGATTAAATTCTAAAATTAAATCTTTACCTGTGTGTTCAG